AAAGAGGCTCGTACTTGCTCTGTTTTTGACTATTTTTCTGCCGTTATTTGAAACGCGATCAATCTAGACTCGAAAATATTTCACAGCATGCGATTCACTGTGTGTCCCTGCTTTCAAATTCGAGTGGAACAACCACGTTATTCTGAATCTATTTGTTGCCTTCAAAGGCAAAAATTATGATGCACCAGATTGCTGCACCAAAGAAGTCTTATTATGAACCATTGGAAGCTAACCAGGGGCCAAAGGTAGGGCAATGGTATGGTTTCGCGACATAAGATGTGCTAGTAGCAGTGCAGTTAGGCTTGGGACCTAAAACCGAACCGCCCTCTACGAAACTGTCCCCCCCTGTAGGCGTCGTTATTGACCTCGACGATATTGTCATCATTAACCTTTGTCATGTATTTTCAAAGCGCATTCAAGTCTTCTTTCTTGTCGCACTACTTGGCACCTCGCTTTTCCTAAGTGATCAGCGTCAAATCCATTACCATAATAGCTGCCTTCAAAGTGTACACACTTTTTGCCAATTGAACTACTCGTTTTTGTACACGGGAGATTATAATCTTCAACGTGTGAGGATGATTGCTAGGTCTTCTCGGGCTCAAAAATGAAATTGGCTTGGCTTTTCGCGCAGATTAGGTTGAAGACGGCTGCATTCGATAGCGTTCAAGGAAAATACTCCCTCTCCCATCGTCAAATTGGGCCTGGAGACATTTCTTTAGCGATTCGCTAAGCGCCCCCTACATCCGGTGCAACTTTATGTCTGAAGTAGGACGACGCAATTCAGCGTCGGAAAAAAAGCTGATTGCGAGGTGCATAGTATGACTGCTCTCGAGTTACCGTAGTCGATTGCCGGTCATTGAGGCGCCAAATTCGAAATTCAATTTGTCTCGAGGGGCAGCACGCAAATGTGCATAATCGCAGCCAGCTGACTGACTCCGCCTCGTATGATTCGCCATTATGGACAGAGCATGAATACCAAATTTATGATGCCTCGAACGTCGTTCGCTCGCATCCGCAAGACATGTGGATGATGGTGGTTGTAGTAGTGCTCCCGAGGTGGCGCTTCTGGTACTTGGAACCAGGGTCAACCCTACGTTGGTACGAAGTACCAACGGGGGGGTCGTACTTGGTTGAGTTTGTAGGAGGGGGGGTCGTACCCACTTTAGTCGCTCGAAATCACGTGTGGGATTGAGGAGAAACTAAGATTTCGTGGGTAGTAGGCACCCGCCACCGCCCCCACATCATCAAGTACTAGTAGAGACGAGTGAGTGGGGTCGACGGGGTGGCGAAAAGCGGTCGTATAAATTCATCGTCGAGAGCCGGGTTCGTAAAATTTTCAGGAAAGCTAACCCGATAGGAACCGACCCTGCTGTGTAATCACCTATCAATTAGGCCGGCGCAACCTGCGAAGGGCTGCGGGAGTGTCAGCCCTGTATCAAACATTCCTGGAAACTGAGCCGAAGCACTAGTATTGTTCGCAGCAAAGGCGAATTTGGAGCTTGTGGTTTATAGAAAAGATAAAAACACTCAACAAAGCGCTATAAAAATACAAACTACAATATTTTAATAGTTAATTTTCCGATATATTTCTAAGATGCGTCCATTTCCTTTTCCCAGCCACTTGCATAATCTTTTATTGTAAAATTTGAAGGAGTCTGGCATAGCATCCACGCCATAGCAAACCCTCATTGCAGCCAGGCCATGGCCCCATGGGAAACCGTCATGAGGGTCAGGAAATAGGCCAAAGGGAAACCGTCATGAGGACCAGGGCATGGTTTAGAAGCCTCCCGTATTGGTAGGCGTTTCATCGGCCAAATGGTTTTCAAGTCAACCGCATCAAAACGCTCCTCGATCTCAAAGGCGAAGTGAGTGCATGGGCGAAATGCCATAGTGAAGAGATTGAGCACCGCCGAGTGTTTTATTCTTGATCCTTACCGATTTAGGCGGACTACGTTCCACGGGTAAACACTGCATAGATATGGACATCTATTGCGCCATCCTTTTGCTTACTCCTTGTTTACTACCACATTTTTTATTCATTTGTTTGTTTCACCTACAATACGACAGTGTGCGCAGAGAGACCATCCTGAAAGTCGGGTTCTGAACAGCAGGTCGGCGCTCACGGCCTTAGGGGGATTGAAACCCTGCATTTGAAACTGCTGACACTAGGGCCAAGCCCAGGAGAAAGGAGAAACTAGTGAGAACAAGAGTTGCTCACGTTTTCTACCAGAATCGTTCCCCTCCTTGAGGCTCAATCCCAAGTTCTGTAAGTAGCTCACTCCTAGGTCCCCTCTCTTGACATTAGCGATAGAGAGGATATTCATACAAACGTTTGGCTTCCGTCTAAGGGCCCGTGCGAAACGGGAGCCAGACTGACTCTTTGTAAAACCCCCTCTATTAGTTCATATATATTTTTGTTCTCATAACAGTTTTTACATTTCTTAGCGCTAGCAGACTGAAAGTAGGCCTATATGGTGCTGGAATGGCACTGCGCACTCTAGCTGAACTAAAGGTAAGTGAAGTGAAAGCTGAAATGTAAGAGCGAAATCTTGCGAATGTATGGACGGTACCTAACTAGCTTTCTAAAGGTCGTTTAAATGGGTTATTGCATAGCAAGTAAAACATCGATTACAGTAAGCGTAGAACGACGATGAGAAATGTGCATAGTGACGAACTCCACGACATTGCATTTTCATGGGCTCATAGTCCCCTGGGCCTTGGTTTCGTGGTGTCTTCGAGGGATATTCACCTCTTTCGATTATTATTATGACCTTCACCTCTTTCGTTGCCTCTTCTTAACGGTTTGACGTTTTACGATACCCGGCGCAAACATGGAAGCCTTTGTGATGTTGCGAACGGACAACAATTCATTGTGTCTTGTTACTATCCGAATCGATTTCGCCTTTTCTGACCATTGAATAGCTTGTCATCGAGAGAAGAATCTATTCAAAGCCTTCTCTCAGAGCCAGGTTTCTCAATCGATTCTAATGGGTGATATTCTAGGAGAACTCAACGTTCAAATACATATGATGTGAAATCCCAATTTAATCCCTTCATATCCAGCAGTATTCAATCTAATTATCCCTTTTATGACGTCTTCGCAAGAATAAGGAGATTTTGTGGAATTTATCTCGAAGTGCACCCTTCAATTTTATGATTACGTAGATAGAAAAATAACGGTGATGACACCGAGAACAAGAGTTTGAAAAAGCTGACTTAGGCAGAGTTGATCAACTCTTGGGCAAACCCTCGAGGAGCCATTCACAGGCGCTAATGGGCTTCTTTTTCCGACCAGAATGATTCTCAAATAAAGCCCTATGGACCGCTTTTGTTGGGATCGTCTATGTTCCAAAGATAGCTCACCTTTACTTGACTTTCGCTCATGCTCAATTCCTGGGCTAATTGTGCACGATCGGATCCGGCTAGATATTTTGTCTGTTCGAATTTCTTCTCCAACATAAAAATCTGAAAACGATTCCATATACGTGCTACTTGTCAACATATGGCTGCTACGTCTGATTAGAACGAAAGACTTATCATTAAAATACATCAAAATTGTGTATTGCAAATGATGTCTTGATTGGCATGTTTTTGTCATGTATAATGAGTAATCAAGAGTTATGAAAGGCTGTCATTATGGTTGAAGCTTTTCTTGAAAACAATCTTTTGAGCTCCGATTGCGTAGCAGTAATAGCACCAGCTTCATGCTGGGACTCGGGAGAGTAAGAGCTCACCTGATGGCCGGTGAATGTGGGTCGACTTTGCTTTTTGTGGAGGGCGAGCGGATTCGACGACAGCTCTACCGGCATCCGAAGAGGTGTCTGTGATGGCAGCTGCAACATTCCGAACGGATTCAACGCTGCTGCTGCTCTGGCTGGAAAAAGTAAAGAATTAAGCAACTCCAACTTCTCTCTTCGTAGAACCTTGGTATCCTTATAATTATGGTATTATTCTTCTGCCAACGAGGTTTCTGGGGGGGAGGGGGGACTTTATTAGTGGCCCCACGTTTCGACGAGATCGTCTTCCTCAAAAGTCTAAAGGTGGCTCAAAGGTTTGAGAAATGTCCTTTAAAGCACCAAGGGCCTCTTCTCCCTAACTCTAGCGGAACGTAAAGTGAAAACCCGAAGGGAGGGAAATAAACTCACTCAGTCCACCACCGCAAGGGCAGAACAGCGCCATAGTCAGTAATGGTTCGTAACTATGCCTACTTAGGCATAAGGTTATACTCTCGACATGCACGCTTTCAGTGTCCAGAGGAGAAGAGGAGGCGTTTGGCGATTCAAGGGCATATCTCAAACCTAAGCCATGTTCAGGCCTTTCAGGGAAGGATCACAAGACGTTTGGCCACAAATAAATTTTCCACCTAAAAACCTCGTTGGTGGAAGTAAACAATTGTTTTCTAACAAATAGCAAATCCTTGAAAAACATCCCGAATTCCCATGCAGATCTGGAGCAAAAGAAGTTTGACAGCTTCGGATCTGTAAGCCGATGCGAGCCGGTCTTATACAGCTGTCAATCGCGAGATTAGGCAGTTCAGCGTTTTGTAAGGTTGTCTCGGAGCTATCACACATACACACTATTATTTATCTCAGCTTTTTTCACCCAAAAAGTTTACTCTCAGTAGTACCAAATGTGTACACTTTTCCATCTACACGCTCATCCCATGATTGACAGAAGTTTTGTAACCATCCAATCCACTATTGCAGAGTGGCTCAGGACAGCAATTCCCTCCTTCAAATCGCCTCATGATTATGGCTTATCCTTGATAGATCAGCGCCTGCGCCTATTTGATTAATCGAAAATATGTATTGCACAACTCGGGTTTAAAAGCTAGAAGGCAAGCGATATAGCATGATTCAGAGCTTTTTCCCCTAAGGTTGAACCTCGTTTGTTGAACCCGTATTGTTGAAACGGTTCCATGCTGAAAAACCGCGGGGCAAAACGTTTGATAAGAAACGCTTCGTCAAAATGAGAATTCATAACACTCGCTGCAGTCACAATAGCCGACAAAAAAGTGGAATCAGTCAGCCGAATGAGGGCGCCTCATCAGACTTCAACGATTCAATTCCCATCTCACAACATCAACACTGCAACTGGTTTGTTGGTAAATTCAATCAGTTTTTCATCAGCATTGTGTCTACCAAAGCGATGAACGCTGCTGAACTTCATATGCGATGGCCCAAACAGTATTTGCTTTGAGAAATGAGGTTGGCCTGCGGGATTTTTCCTTAGCTTATTAGAGGCGTATTCGGGTATTCACGTAATAATACCACGGAACCGAAAGAAGATTACATCGATAACTTGATATGGTCTAAGAGAAAAATGCTCCGTACCTAGAAAGCAATAATTTCGGGTTACGGATTTTTTTTTAAAAAGGAGAAAGGAAGAAAATCACCTAGACATTTTTTATTTTGAAGAATTTTTTGAGTCGTCGACCTTTCTGGACATTTTTAAAAGGATATGCCTGATTCTTCTTGAAAAAAAGCACTTGGAACTAAAGTCCTATCGATGTCTTAGCGCTAGGCTGAAATTTCGATTATCCAGAAATCCCGGTGGAATGATCTGTGGATAGAACAGAGAGCTTCCTTTGTGAGGTATCCCACCATTGTGAGCTATCCCGCTGGAAACCGTGCCTATATTATTACAGAAAAGTCACCTTCAAATTTCTCTCAAAGGCCCAAATTTGGCTTCATTGTTGGGAAAATGAAGCGAAAAAAGCCAGCCTTCAAAAAAAGTAGTTTGGCTCCATTTTGCTGAATTCGCGCTAGAATATTGTATTATATTTATTAAGCTTGTTTTAATGTGTTTCGGGAGATGCTATTTGAAAGGTCGCGAAAGGTTCCCATATCCGGGAGAATTCATGACACTAAGGGCTAAGCACATTAAGGACATTCAGGATTCCTACCATTACCTTTTCATTTTTTTTCGCTTTTACTTTCATCTCCATCTATGCTCATTTTTCCCATACCACCCCGCCCTCCTGTCCTCATTCGCCTTTCCCCAACCGTGCCTGCAATCCTTCTTTGGCAATTGGGAAGTAAGACCTTGTGAAATTTTGCAAGCATGGCTCAAACTAGGATTTTTCCCCGACTTCATGCACGATTCTGAGGGTTTTTGGGTTTCTCATAAATTCCTTTACGCATTTTAGATTCTGCTAGGTGACTTTCCTTCTGGGGTGGAAGATGACGGAAGGACCAACTAATTTGTTTATTCAAAATTCTAAAAATAAGTCACCATCACACTCATGTCGCTCCCTCCCCATCCCACTAGAGATTCTTCGAAATTGTGAAGAGAGGAGGAAAGAAAGACGTCTAGCCCGGACATTTCGGCCATAACGCGCTTTGATTCCACTCGACGCTTTGTAGCCATGATTATTGCGCATTGAACCCATCATTTTATTACGCGCAACACTGAAAGACGGCTCAGGACATTCAACGTAGGCATGTTCACGCCAACGAAAATATCCACTTCATTTGGCCACACTCAGTAAGAAAGAACCCCGGCCAGTGACATTCAAATAAACCTACAGATTTTATCGTGAACCTATACGAAACCAGTTCTTCTAATGCACTCTCTCCTTCTTCTTCATTATGACTGTTCATCAACCTATGTAACAGTGTGTTGCTTCCCATTCCAGGGGCAATCATCACAAGCAGCTACAGTATCCCGTACAATATTCGCCGTACGGTTTATAACCGGCACTGTAGGCTCAGAACCAGTTACACTCCACACACTACTCACCACTTCACAAACAAAGCAGCTCCGACTTCTTACAATTATGAATTAATGCCCGAATTAATCATCGCTCAAGTGCCTTGGCTGGCGCAGACACGGCTTCTCTAACAGGGCTCCCTCTCAATCAATAACTTTTGTTTGTTGTTTTTGAATGCTCTTTTGGTTTAATGCGTAGTTCTAAACTCCTTTACCCAAATATTTGTTTACCCTTCCATGATAAACAAGTGAATAGATGATTTTGGAACGGCGGTTGGTTGGATTGGAGGGGCCCGCGTGGGAAGAGGAGGAGGTCGAGCTCGTGACAGGGACAGGTGACGAAGAAGGGCTCCATATAGCTCCCCCAACCCAGACAGTTCTTCACGACCGGAAACACAGCGCGCATATCAAGTAGCAGCGACATATATTATGCCCACTATCATATGTTATGAATACGCTAATAGGCCACGACATTGCGTAGAATGTTAAATGATGTGCTGCGCAGCCACCTGCCAACGAACGTCTTCCTCGTTGGCGGCACTGTAACTGACTGACTAACTGACTGACTGACTGATGGACCGGCTACGGACCGTTTGAGTGACTATGAAATCATCTCTAGCTCTTCTAAACGCTCTAGGACACTTCTGCAGAGAAGGAGAAGAGCAGGTTAATTTACTTGAATGAAGTCCCCAGTCTTGATAATCCTAATCTGTACTGCCATTTTCTCAGCGCTCAGATAATCCCAGGAACTAGAAAAGCTGTCCCTCACGAAAAGAACTCCAAGTGTTTCACGAGATGCAGTATTATAGATTAATACCTTGATCTTGGGCTAGAATACGTAACGGATTAGCTGCGGCCACTGCTGCTGAGTTGAGTTGTTGTCCGACAAGAAACGAGAGGTAGGCTTGCTGTAAAACGATAGAATTCCTACAGAGCTTCAGCTCATTCCTAATAGCGACCTGATATGGTTGAGCTCAGGCTCATAAAGTTCTTAATGAGCGTTGGATAACCAATCG